CCCCCCAACAGTAAAAAAAAACACACACACACACTCATGCTCATATATTATTAGACACGTGCAAAGACTAAACATTTGTTTTGGACGAAATGAACGGAAACTAAAAACGTTTTCATTAGTTTCGTCAAACGAAAAAACTTTTTATGCTATTTTGAATTTGGCCGCCTGCGCATGCGTGCCTCCATCCTGAAGGCGGGGAGCATTACGTCGCATGACGCCGTGCATGTGCAGCGATGGGTGACATAACACGTCTGCACAATTTTCTGTTCTTGCCTCAGAGCTCCGGCTCTGATGTTCCCCATGTAAAATGATGAGCTCAGTCAGTTATGAACGGACCTCTACGATCTACTCTTCTGTAGAACCAGGGCAGGAATTTGGAGTAGGGACACAAAGCACATGTATGACGCAGGTCAGATACATACAATGGTCACAGTTTGTTGCGTTGCTGCGGATGTACTGCACATGAAGTGTAGAAGAGCGCCTCTGTTATTTTTGGTAACATGATGTCTTTCTGCTTAGATCCCGTAGATCTGGTCCACCCCGAGAACCCGGCAGACACCGCCTTCTCTCCTCCCATAGATTCTGTCCTTCAGAAGTCCTTGGCAGTAACCGTGTCCTTCCCTCCCCTATCGTTAGTCCATCGGGAGTCCCCTGCAGAAGTGGTCTTCACTCCTCCTGTAGATCCGGTCCACCAGGAGTCTTTGGCCAACAGTGTCTTCTCCCCTGAGTGTCAGGAGATGGGGGAGGACTCCAGTAAGGACTCTTCTGAAGAACCTTCCATCGTTTCACCCGTAAATCCGCTTCACTGCTCAGACACAGTGGAAGATCAAGAGCCAGCTCTGGAGTCCGAGCCCCGGGACCGCCATTTCTCCGTGCTAAACCGGACTCTGCACAACTTGTCCTCCCACCAACAGGAATCCAACGTCTTAATGCAGGAGCAGAACTCCATCTTGTCCCAGATTGCTTACTCTCTGAGCCTCCTTCACATACAGCAGACGGAAGGACTGGCTGCTCTGGGCAGTATTATCCAACAGGGTGTGGAGGCCATTCATCCGTCATCGTGCGTGTCAACAAATGCTCGGACTATAGACCCCACCAAGGTCCATGCGGGGCTGAGGCGGCAGGTGATGGGCATTAGCAGATCTAATACTGACCAACCTGCCCCCGCGAAGCGGAAAATAACTTAGTACCTCGTACACTCTGGTGTTCGGTCATTGTTATTCTGTTGCTTATCCAGTTTATGGATCTTCGTGATGTTTTTTTTTAGGTGATAAAAATAGTTATGAATTGTTTGATGAATAATCGATTCCAAAATAAAAGAAAATATGGGATAACACAGCTTTGGTTGAGTGTTTTGTTTTGGGGTGGATACTCAATGTGCCGATTTGGTGATCAGTTTATTTTGCTCTGCTTGGGGCTTGTTCAAGAAACAAGAAACTTGGCTTCTCGGGAGCCATCTTACAAAATTATTGTTGGATATTCTAGAACGCCATCCCATCTACACACCTTTATGGCAGAGGTCTCAACTCAACTGCAATGAGAACCTAGCAAGGATTTTCACTCCGGGGTTTCATTGTCCCATGGCGCAGTTTTTGGTGTTCTATATCAACGTTATTACACAATGAAATGTAATCCTTTCTCCACGACTTGTCCTGTTCAACTTGGATTCAAACCAAACAAAAGTGTCCATCAATAGCGTGGTGCATTTTCATTGAGGTTGTGGGTGCCGAACAATTGGAATAAATGAAATACATGAATATAAGATTAACAAATCTTAAAAAACAATATTGGTCTTGGTTGGTATACGGTTTGGTAAAAAGCTTAGTATACAGATTTTTTTTTTTCATGGGTGCTCCTCTGGAGGGAATGAACAGTGTCCTGAGCCTGGATGTCGGGGACCAGAACACCTCCAGGTGGCACTGTGGCTATCCGCTCCGGCTGCGGCGTCTCAGTATAGCACGAGCTGTAGCTCCCTATATACTGAGCCTAGTGTGACGGGAGGACGCTAGTTTGTGTCCTCTCGTTACCCTAAGGAGAACTATGGGGAAAAGCCCTGACCCCATAGTTCTCCTTTAACCTCTCCCTGCTGTGAGGCCTGTGCCACAGTATTGTTGCCATGTCCTGTTTCCTGCAACCAGTATCCTGTTCCTGCCTTGGACCCTGACTCCTGACCCTTACCCCTAAGGCCCCCCGATCTGTGTCTCCCGGCTCCCCTCTTGTTGCCCTGCTCTCCAGGTTATACCCAGCCCTGTTATCTCTCTCTGATTTGTTGTTCCATATTGTTTGGCTCTCATATGTTACATGCGGGTGGTGATGGGGTTGCATGTGTTTGTGGTGTTTTTCTAATAAACTATAGTTCACAGGAATTGTTTGGTACCTGAGGTGTGGTCACATATTTGGTTCCCCTGTAGAGATACCTGTACACGGTTTCGTGACACTGGAATTGGACTTTGAACTCTAATGAATGTACAATGAACTCTAAATACCTGGTGATCCCGCCATTCTCCATGCTGATTTCCTGCTTCCTGTGCTTTTCTGTCAATCTAACCGTGGGTTTAGACCCATGGTGGCATTGACAGACATGCACAGTACCTACAGTGACGTTAAGAGTAGGACGCAGTGCTAAAGCACAGCTTACCTGCAGTCCTGTAGTCAGCCTAACACAGGGCTGTAGCTACCATGGGGCGAGTGAGGCACTAGCCTCAGGCGCAGCTGAGAGGGGGCATATGAATAGAGGACTCTGTGTCCTCAATCTCTTTTTCTATTTTAAAAGGGAAATGTCACGGATCTGTTTAGACCCCCAATATTTCCCTGAAGTCCCCCAACAGTAAAAAATATGAATTAAAAAAAAACAACCCCCCTCCTCCTCCACACACACTCACTCATGCGCACATATTACTAGACATGTGCAAAGTCTAAAAATTAGTTTCGGACGAAATGAGTGGAAACGAAAAATGTTTTCATTAGTTTCGTCAAACCAAACACATTTTAGGCTATTTTGGATTCGGCCGCCAGCGCATTCTGCGCATGCGCGCCGCCATCCTGGAGGCAGGCTCATGACGTCACATACCGCACACGTCTGTTGGGGGGCACAATTTTCTGTACTTGCCTCGGGCGCAAAAGGAGCTAGCTACGGGTCTGGCCTAACACGCCAAAATGCAGAGCCCCACTTGAGTGACCACTTCCTCATCCCATTACAAAGTCCTGATAAAAGTGACCATGTCCCTCTGCCCAGCTCAACAGACTCGTTTCTGAGCTCCTACGGTCAGATGTCCAACTCAAAGAAAACATTGGTCTGATTTAGTCTGAGTAGAATTCATCTTCAGGGGGTCACATTTTGCCTGCTGATGGCACACTACTACTTTATTTTTCAGCAGGCTATATACTATAATTTAGGTTTATTACCGAAGGGTTTCAAGACTCCGCAGGATACTTCTCTCAATATGCGCAAGGGATCCCTCCATGTGCCTGTGGTAAACCTGCATTTTAGCGGTTGAGTTGTGCTGGCAAAGCTTTATGCGGTCTTGCTGTTGGATACAACTCCATGGTCTAGTCTACTACACCAGGCTCCTGAAGGTCTATGTTTGCATAGTAAACTGAACAAACTGGCCACCCTCGCTTCAAAGAAGCATCAAGAGTGAGTTGGGAGGACCTATTTGGGATGCTTTGTTTAAATTTAGGAGATCAAAAGCCTTCTACACAGTTTTACATCTGGGAGAAGAGCCAGCCCAAGCTGACCGCAGATGGACAAATGTCTTGCCAATCTGGCTGTGGGTCCAGCAGATGTTTGCCAGATGACCACTTTCAGGTGGAACATCAGTTGTATATGTTAGAACAACTGTTCGGGACCAGTTTATTTCCCGATGACCTAAGAGCTACCTGTAATGTCTTAATGGCTCCTCCTTGCCAACAAGAATTATTTTCTGGGAAGACACAACATGGTCAGATCATCTGCCTATGTTTTTCAAGTGCTTCATCATTTAAATATGTCTTATATTTCCCTCTATGACATAAGGGCCATCTGCAGCAGCCTCCTGGCTCCCAATTTTCTTTTCTGATTTGGCACAGCATGATCAGACCAGCTGCCTGTGTTTGTGACTCACTTAGGGGCTGATTTAAGAAGCTTCGCCCAGCGTGTTGAAGGGCAAAGGATGTTTGCATGTCATTAATCGCGCTAAATGGAGCTGGGAAGCGTAGGAGTTATCTATGCTCCTCGGCTCCATTTAGCGGCAGCATTGCTATGCGAATGGCATTCACCGGGCATAAAGTCTTCATACATCAGCCCCAGGGGGGCGTCCATAGATGTCTTGCCCCCTGAGGCTGGGGAGAAAGGTGGTTCTCATGATGCACATTGTTGGGGAGGGGGTTAGTTACTCTTGGCGCATGTTCCATACGACGGTGTTAGTTACTCGATGGTTTCAGCTGAGGGCTCATGGTGGATGTACATGTACGGGGGGTAGATGGGGGACGATAGTGGTGCACGGCATCCTGCCCAGCTCACGGACATCACTGCCTGGAGCTGGGCAGGACACAAACCAGAGCATCCCTCTCATCACTTGGCAACCAGTGACGTCAGTGAGTTGGGTGGGACATCGCCCAGGTGGTCAAAAGTTGCTAAGAGCTCTTAGCAACCTGTGACGCTCTGGGCGGAAAAGGTCGACAGGCACAACTGTCCCCCCTCCCCACGTGAACCAGTGAGGTGCCATCTGACGCTGCGCCCTTATAGGGACGGCCCTGATCAGCCAATTAAAGTTTATCTTGATCAGCTTAAGGAGAGATTTTCCCTTCACTTTGACCATAGTTGTTCTCACTCCATGTTGTCTGGGGGACAGGAAGTGACTGTGTTTTCCTCAGTTCAGGGCAATATTCTCTACTTTTTTGGGGGCCAATACACCATCTCCTTCTCTATTGTTCCAAGTCCAGTCTCAGTGTCTTTATGTTATGTGAAAATCCTGCTATTTGGCTTATTGTATATCTGATTTCTGAACATTCCTCTCTAGACAGCGACGTCGCCGTGAGGCTCCAAGAGATGACGGAAATGTGGACAAACCGGGCAGCTGAAGCAAGAGAAGCAAGCGAGCGGTCCAACCAAGGTGACACCTGCCGCCGTTGATGTTCAATTATAGGTTGTACGGAGGCTCAAAGTTGACATTTTATTCACAGTCAATGCAACGCAACCAAAAGTCAAATATAAGTTATCCAAAAAAGTTCAATACCATCACCGGAAATGTGGCTACTAGGGAAGTCAGTCTGAGGTTGGCCGTGCACGGAGAATGATTGTTGCGTACAAAAGAATTTGCTACACTTCTGCCTCGGAATGACTGTATATTGCAGGGATGTCCAAACTCCGGCCCTCCAGCTGTGGGTGAAACGACAAATCCCATGAAGCATCTCTCCGGGAGTCATGTCTGTGGCTGTGAGAATCTTGCAAAGCCTCATGGGATTCGTAGTTCCACCACAGCTGGAGGGCCGCAGTTTGGACATCCCTGGTATATTGGATACAGATTGAAAATTTTGGGCTAGCGTCTGGTGTTCCCTACTGATAATGCCCCTTGTTATTGTCTATGGTGAGCAACTGACAACACAGTAGACGTGTTTGTTATGTTATAAATTGATTTCCTAATAAGTCAGATAATTAGAAAAATATCTGGAAGCCATATTATACAGCCAGGTTAAAAAGCGGAATTCCAGTTTTATTTATCTATTTTGGAAATAATTTGACCAGCTGTGTTATGAAGACCCCACTGCAGTAATAACTTCCTCTCCAGCTCTGTACTCCACAGACTCACCACAGCAAGTCCAACACCGGTTCTCTTTGGGGTCACCCAGCATCATTCAACCCACTTTCTGTGAGCCCTGGCTGTCATGGACACACCCCCCTAGTGTTGCATCATCACACTGGCCTGGACTCGCAGTACAATACTGCAGAGGGCTGAGCTGACCTCATACAGCATAAGCAGAGACACGTGAATGGAACTCCATTAAGCATTGGCATTTGACTACCAATTTTTCCAAAATCAAGATAGCCAACTTGGATTTGGCTTTTGTTTTTTGTTTTTTGTCAAATAATTTTTTATTGAAATTAACAGTGCAAATATACAAGTACAGTTTACATTGCCAACTGATGCCTGCAAAACTCAGGGCATCCATACATAAAAAAACATGCATCACATGTGAAATGTTACAGTAGTAGAGGAACACAAGGTTGGTCTTGGTGAGTTGCTAGGTTGGCGTGACGGAGAGTATTGGCTGTTGGGGTTCTGAGTCGCAGCCTTTGGGACTCGGCACGAAAACAAAGCACACCTCCGATCGCTTATATATATCTAAATTCCTGGAATACCCAGACAGTTATCCACTGGACGGAGTTCGAAATACAGCATGCGACATGACCCCAGCGTTTGTGGGGTTAGGAAGCAAAACAAGGGTTAAGACCTTGGTTCTCAACTGGTGGGTCGTGACCCAAAAGTGGGTCGCGACCCCATGTTCAGTGGCAGTCCATGTACCCATTGCACTCCTTACCGCTAATCCATAGTAATAGGTTGGGTGCATCAGGAGTCGACGGATGGCCACCGTCTGAATAGTATATAGGAAATTTCTGATCTGATTTGGCCACATGCCTTCCACTTTTCTAGGCAAGAGACTCCTCAGCCTTCCCCCTAGCACAGCACCGTCAGTTCTCGCGCCGAGCAGCCATTCAAAATATTCTGCCTGGCCCTGTGTGTCAGCTTGGGGTGGGGTGGGCTGGAAGTATGACCATAAGGGAGCTCCATCCATATGTGCATTGTTTACAGCTCCCACATGTGCCTTGTAGAGGTGCCCGGACTGATGTCACATTCTGGCTCCCGGCACCTCTACAGGGTGCGCAAGGGAGCTGAGGATCCACTCCAGTTCTCATAAGGTAGGGAGACTGGGTGGATCTTAAAAAAAAAAAGAAAAACAATTATAATTTTTTTGGGAGTGTGCATGTGTGTGTGTGCGAATGTCTGTGAGTGTGTGAGATTGTGTCTGTGGTTTTGTGTGTCTGTCAGTGTTTTTGAGGGTCTGTTCACACAAGTACAATGCGTTAATCGCTCAGCCCCATGCCATTAATGCGCTGTACCACACAATCGCACCTACTGCGAGTTCTGGTGTGGAAGGTGCATTGCGTTGCCATTCATTTGAGTGACACCACAAATGCATCTCCCACCCACAGGTCAATCGCCTGCACCCGAACACCCAGTACTGCAATGCCGTGCATTCCATTGCAGTGCGACTTGGGTCGCAACTTAATGACCGAGGACAAATGTGGGTCCTGAGGTTACACAGGTTGAGAACCAATGGGTTAAGACATACAGAGCTCGAGAGCAATTAGGTAGACGAGCAATCTTGTGTTCAGGAAAGTGATACCACTGACAGTAGACAATACATGTGTGGAGACATGGGGGGAAAAGAACATAAAGCGGTTAGGGTCTGGAAAGAAAAGAGGAGAAGAAGATAGAGGAGGGTCTGGGCCGTACGCAAGAGGTGGGAAGTATTTTACTTTTTATACTTTTTTACGCATCAGCCGTATAAAATAGGTTCTCAGAAGCAGCACAAAAAGGTATTGTTGCCATGTTGCTTACTGTTACTATGTTATATAAAATAGTTCTGTAATACTTTTTAAAATTCAGTCCTGTTGCTCTCCATGCGTGTGTAGCCAGCGCAGAAAAAAGGATTTCAAATGACAAAATAAATGGAGTGGATAATTTAATAACCAACCGGCCCATATACACAGGAAAGCAGAGCAGCTTCCAGGGGACATTCACCTTTCCATCTTTGTGTGGCCCTGTCCCCATTACCATTGTTGCTTAGACAAGAATTCTGTATGTGCGTTATAATTAATCGATTTTAAAAAATTTGATTAACCGAACACGAAAATTGTAATCAGTAACAGCCCTAATTTTTATATACACTGACTGGCCAAAAAAAAAAAAAAGTCACACACGGACATTTCGTTGGAGCGCCTTTAGCTTTGATAATGGCACTCATTCACCATGGCATGGTTTCGATAAGCTTGTAGTGATGATGGGAGAGTCGGAGCACGGCATGAAGTCTTCTCCAGCACATCCCAAAGATTGTCAATGGGGTTAGGGTCTGGATTCTGTGGTGGCCAATCCATGTGTGACAATGATGCCTCATGCTCCCTGAACCGCTCTTTCACAATCTGAGCCCGATGAATCCCGACATTGTCATCTTGGAATGTGCCATCAGGGAAGAGAAAATCCATTGATGGAAAAACCTGGTAATTTGGTATATTCAGGGAGGCAGCTGACCTCATTTTTGGGGACATAATGTTGTTGAACCTAGACTAATTGTCCAATGAAAGGCTCTGAAAGGAGAACTAGGAGGGGTGTGCTTTTCACTCACCTCATAGTTCTAGCCGACCTGTGACAATGAGACTGTCACAGGTCGGCTCAGTAGATCGGGAGGTGAGCGAACAGATACCGGCGTTCGCTCACCTCTCGATCCTGTCACGGCTCTCTGCTGTGACAGGGGAGGGACTGGATTCCCCTCTCCCCGCTCCGATCCGCCAGCGCTGACTGGCGGAACGGACGGGGGAGGGGGCGGGTACAGCTGGCACTGCCTCTAGATAGGCAGAGCCAGCTGTCAGTCACGTAGCTGGGCGGATCCCGGCATAATTGTCGGGATCCGCTTCAGCTGCGGCGTCTCAGTATACCGAGAGCAGCAGCTCCCTATATACTGAGCCTAGGGTGACGGGAGGACGCTAGTTTGTGTCCTCCCGTCACCCTAAGGAGAACTATGGGGAAAAGACTTAACCCCACAGTTCTCCTTTAACTATTTGCTTTGCTTAATCCAAGTGGTGACCTTTTTTTGGCCAGGTAGTGTATTTTTCGTAGGTGAATACTGAATATTGCACATTAATATTTCATATTAACATTTCCAAGCGGCATGTGTACCATGATCCTCAGCTGCTTTGTTGTAAAACGTTTGTTTCTTGAGTTTAATTTTCATGCAAGTAAGTCAGAGGAGTGGGTTCTCCTCCTTAAAAGAGTTTTAGTTAAAAAGAGAGTCTGAAGGCAAATAGCTTCTTCCATCTTTATTTAAACAACACTCAGTGCTCCACAGCCCCTCTATCAGCTATTATATAATGGGGAGAATTGATCAAAACTGGAGCAGACAAAATCTGGAGCAGTTTTTCTCTTCAATTTGCTCAGGTAAGATTTGAAAATGAGACAGAGAAGCTGATTGGTTGCAGTGCAAATCTACTCCAGATTTTGTCTGCTCCAGTTTTGAAAAATTCCCCCCAATGTGTCTTTGTAAAAATGGGATTTTTGTACTCGGCATTAAATCTTTTTCTATCAGATTCATTGGAGAACATAGTACAGGCATTTTTATAGGGATGCACCGATACCGGTTTTTCGTTATCGAGTACGAGTACCGATACTTATATTTCGGTACTCGTCGATACCGAGTACCAATACCGCCACTTCCGGTAGCATAGAGCCGTCTTGCCGGGCAATCAGGAAGCCAGGAAGGCTTCTTGATTGCCTGGGAAGCCGACTCCATTCTGTTTGGCCGGCTAGATGCTGATTGGCCGGGAAGCCGGCTTCCCAGCCAATCGACATCAAGGCCGGCCAAACAGATCTGACAATATGGTGACACGACCCGGCACCTAATTCCCCTCACATAGATCCGTATCACATTCATTAACATACCAGTCCCTCGGCCAGCACTCTCCAAGATCTCCCCATGTCTCCTGTGTACAGCGCCCACGTGATTGGCACTCAGCCTGCTACTGTGCATGCGCAGACTGCACAGCGCTCTCATTCAGAAATCCTGTGCATGCGCAGTAGCAGGTTGAACGCTGATCACGTGAGCGTTGTGCAGTGTGCACATAGGAGATGGCAGATCTGGCCGAGGAACTGAATGCTAAGGATCTATGTGAGGGAGAATTAGGTACCTGCAGGGTGGGGGTGGTGTCGCTATAGTATCAGATTTTTTTGCCCGGCTCGACCCTGATTGGCTGGGAAGCCAGCTTCCCGGCAATCAGCATCAAGCCAGCCAAACATCATGGAGCCAGCTTTCCCGCTCCATCTTTCCTCGCGGCACTGCCAGTCAGAGGAAATCTTCCTCTGACCGGAAGTTCTAGTATCGGGAAAGGTATCGGAGCATTTGGGCAAGTACGAGTACTCGCCCAAATACTCGGTATCGCCACCGATACTAGTATTGGTATCGGTGCATCCCTAAATTTTTACCATGAGGTATTGAATGCAAATCATAAATAAGCCAGACACCTCTAATGGCCATACCCTTACCCTTGCTCAAAAGCTCAGTTGTAGCAAGCAATGGAGGACAAGAGAGTAAGGTAAAAAAAAAAAAAAAACATCCTTGCCACAACAATTTAACTTAACCATGGCAACAGGCCAACAAAAAATAAGAACTAGTAGAACGGTGTGAATGACCAATAAAAATCAAAGGTAAGGATTGTGAGTAAAACAAATCGTATTTGCTCCTTCATTCACTGGAGGATGCAGCATAGTAATTTTTCAAGGCCAAAGAGCAGTCCCATAATAAGGGTCCGTCAAGGATACCCAACAAGGTAAGGAAGCAAGTCTGTGCAACCCCAAAAAAGCAATGCATTATCCCAAAAGTGCCTTCAGGACCTTATCGCCAAAGTTGGAATCCACCGAAGCAGCCACATCCACCCAATAATATTTGGTGAAGATGTGAAAGGAGGACCAGGTCGCAGCACAAATCTGTAAGACTGAAGCTGGATGGCGGCAGGCCCAGGAAGTACTTAGCTCCCTAGTATAATGAGCATTGACAGAGAATGGAGAGTTGACCTGAATTTTCATGTCATAAACCTCTCGAGGAGCAGATAAACTATGGAGGAGGTGTTGGGGTGAACCCTAGTAGAGGAAGCTGGCCCCTTTTGATTTGCATAATGATTAAACCTCCTTTAGCTGGTAGTATACCTCACGTCTATTGTGCTATGTCTTCCAATAAATAAAGGAGAAATAAGAAATTAAAACAAAAAGTATAAATAATGAATTTGAAGACTTACAAACAATTCATTGATGTAAAACAGTTATAGATCCCATGGTACAGGGAGGGGGTACAGCTAGTTGTGGTTACCTTATTTCCATCCACATAAGATAAACAGTGACGTTTCATAGGAGACCTGTGGAGCAAATTGCATTGCACAGAAGATAGCGCAGTTCTTGCACAATATGACTTCTTATGGTTATTGTTTAATAAATAGTATAAGATATCATGTCTAAAAGTAACTGTTAGTTGCTGCATTCTGTATCCTACAGAGAATCGGCAAGAGGTCTCGGAGCTGGAAGACGGTCCAGGCACAGAGTACTTCCTGGATGGCTCATTCTATCGATGGAACGGATGGCACAATCACGTGGGGATCCTGTCGCCGCTTCCCCAGCACAGGAGGGACCGTCCCTACCAGTGCAGCGAATGTACTAAAACCTTCTCGGACCTCCCCCGTTTCCTCCGACACCAGATCGGCCACACCGGCGGACGGCCGTACCACTGCCGTCACTGCATAAAGACTTTCCGGCAGCCCTATGAGCTAATGGTCCACCAGAGGGTGCATACAGGGGAGAAGCCTTACCAATGCACGGTGTGTGGCAAAAAGTTCATCAAAAACTCCATCCTGAAGGTTCATCAGAGGATTCATACCGGTGAACGGCCGTACAAGTGCACGCTGTGCTCCAAGAGCTTTGTACAGTCCCACCACTTAAAGACCCACCAGCGGACACACCTTGCTGGCAGAGTACCAAACTACTGAGCTCCAGGCGGACGTTGCAGCAGGGCCTTGTTCATACGAAGAGTAGACACATCAATGATTTCTCATTGAGCCACTGTGGTTGATAACAAGGAAAACACTCAAACGATGCCAAAGACTGAAGAACATGCAAAAAAAACAACCCATATATACAATGTTTAATCTCACAAGTTGTGAAATATTTATTTTTGAAATACTACGTAGCGAAAATTTATTGGAAGACATTTTCTGAGGAATCCGGTAAGATATTTGCAGTTCAGAGAATCATTTGAGAAGTTAGCAGTTCAGTCCGTGGTCAACAACGGCCTGCAAGATTCATTCTTGAATTTAGAAATATGAATCGCTGAATATATGTGCCGCTGTGTTCACTGATGGGCTACAATTTCTTGGGTTCGGTTCCAAAAGACGTAAAGATGAAATATGGATGCAACTGGAGCTAAGCTAGGGGACAGCCATCTTGCAGTTCCTGCCGCCATTCACAGAGTCAGGAGCCACTCGTGACAAATCTGAAGCGAATTTCTCTGATGGCTTCCATTGTTTCTTGTAATGTGACTTCTCCGTCGTGTTCAAATCGCAGTCACATCAACCTCCGATACTTGAAAAAATCCACCGCACATCTGAATGTCCACCTTCCTGAATTCACGGCGGACTTGGATCCACCTGGAAGGTCGCTTACCTCTCTAGTTTTACACATGCTGTCATCTAGAATTGAAATGTACGCTATATGACCAAACATCTGTGGACACCTGACCATCAAACCTATATGGACTTGTTGGACATCCCATTAAAAAACCATGGCCATTATTATGAAGCTTGCCCCTTTTTGAAGTCCACACCAGCCTTGACTCTTCTGGGAAGGATTCACAAAATGTTGTAGTTTGTCTGAAGGAATTTGTTCTCATTCTGCCCAAAGAGCGTTTGTGAGGTCAGGTACTGAAGTTGGACAAGAAGCCTTGTCTCGCAGTTGGTGTTCCAATCCATCACAAAGGTGCTCAGTTGGGTTAAAGTTAAGAGTTCTTTGCAGACCACTTGCATTGACCTCCCTTTCTGGGTGTCACAGTCTCCACTCTTCTGAGGAGGCTTTCCACAAGAAAGATGTTGGAGGGTGTCTCTGGAAATTTGTGACCATTTGTGAGGTCAGTTACTGATATTGGAGAAGAAGACCGGGCTCACAATTGGTGTGCTAATTCATCCCGAAGGTGTTCTGTAAGGTTAAGGTCAGGCTTCTGTGCACAGCACTCAAATTCCTCAAGACCAAACTAGATATACCATGTCTTTATGGAGCTGGCTTTGTGCACGGGAACACAGCCATGCTGGAGCAGAAAAGGGCCTTCACAAAACTGTCCCAACAAGTGGATAGTTGTCTACAATGTCCTTGCACACTGTAGTGCTAACAGTTCCCTTCACTGGAAACACCTGAGCTCCATCATTTGGAGGGGCGTCCGCATACATTTGGCCTCATCGTGTATATCTTGTGAAACATCGACTATGAATTTTCATAATGGAGGACGTTATGGAAATGTCTATGATGAGAGTATACAATAAGTTCTCCGCCCTTCTTCTTGAAGTATCCAACTGGCCAGATGGAAACAGAAAGACCCAACTAAAGAGGCGTATCATTCATATACTTTGCCATTCAAAGAGAATCCTATTCATTTCATCAACAGGAACGAGTAGATTTGTGTCAGTTCTAGGTAGAAGTGTACTTTGCTCATTAGTTTCCGAGCCGTGCAGCAAAAGAATTGGAAGTCGTCATCTGCTCCAGTAAAGGGGCGATAATCTCAGACGTCATGGCTGGATGTCCTAAGATTGGCTGAGACACTGGGACTTATTCTTCATCTGGTTTCTCCTTCAGGAACAGCTCCAGAGTCCATCCAGGTAATAAAAAAAAAAACCTCTTCAACCTTTATAATGGATAAAATATTGTTTTCACCTTTAAAATCCTTTTTTGCATCTCAGTGATACTGATCTTCTTCACCCTCTTTCAGCCACTTCATATCTACATGTACGTACTCCTGCATCAGCTGCATGTCATTGCTCTGTGCAATATGTGTCAGCACGGCTGCTTGTAGACTCCAACAGGGCCATATGTAACAGACTGACAGCAAAAGGTTTCCCAGCACATTAGCCAGCCAGCATGCAAAAAAAAACTTGTCTCACCGCTGAGGTTAAAAACAGAGGTTTAGATACACGTCTCCTGCAGAATATGTGAAAGCCGCACAGCCACGTCAAGGCCCCTCTGTGTAGTGCGGTCCTAACTCTAAACTATGAGAGTCTCCATCTTGGAGCACATGTGACAAAAAGTTAAATTGGGTGCAGGTACGCCAGGAGGCAGTCCAACCTCCTTATCTTTTGCCACATGTGCTCCAAGATGGAGACTCTCATAGGTTAGAGTTAGGACCGCACTACACTCTCTGATTGGAGCGTGACCCAAATGCCATTCGAGTCTGGGAGCCTCAGCTTTAGTATTAATATCTGTATGTGGTTTTCTGTGGTAGTCATAACAAATATTTGTAAACTCATCCGAAACGAACGAAAATTCGGATTTCCTCCAAATCTGAAACCCGGACCGAATTGAATTTCGGATCCGAATCCTGAAATATCAGAAACAAATTTTTCCGCAGCTTACATGTCTGCTACTTACATGCTTCTCTTTTTCTATGACAGGCCTCTGTGTTCACTGAAATCGGTCCCAGTTCAGCGAGGTCTTTCGGAAGACTTTTGGATCTCTCGTACAAGAAGGTCTCCAGACGTCTATCTGGATCCAGGAAGCATCAAGGTCTCATAACAGGAGATCTCATACCATCATGTCTACCTGGCCTTGGCCATTAAGACCGGAGTATAGTCCTCCAGGGACTCCAGACATCTGTTGGACTCAGTACCTTCAGATCTGAGATAGAGACTTGTAGAAAGATCAGCTGCAGAAGGGACTGAAACCCAAAACGATCTGATAAACACCAAGAATAAGGATAATGAGTTGGATATTCTAAGTGAAAGGAACCCGTTTTTTATAGGTTGGGTCTTAGGCTGTGGGGTTTTGTTTCCAGTCATCTGTCAGTTTTTAGCTGAGCAGAAACACCGGGATATTTACAGCCTGGGGAAGACTGCGTTAGACATACAGGGTTAGTTTCAGTGCTGGCCGGGATGACCAGAAGCTCTGAGAGCAATTTAACCTACACTACTCCTACACTACTAAGACAGATAAATAAGTCTCCTCCAGCATGTCCTGCGTCAGCTCTTGTGGACTGGAAATGTCACAGGGCGCATCCTCTGCAATCCTTAACGAAGCTGCCACATATATGTGTACAGCCAGCACCCTTTGTACTGGCAACACGCTCACTCAGCACCTCCAGCACAGTGACCGCACTGACAGCTCCAACTCACCGATTGCGGTCGGTTGCTGGCTCCTCATCAAAATATCACTGTGACAGCCAATCACAGTGATAACGGAGAAGCCCACCCGGCACTACGAACTTGTGAGGGGTCAGCGGCTGCTGGCTATAAGGGGTTAATATTACAGTGATGGACATGTGTTATCTTCACATGCACACACATTTCCTATGTTTAATTTGCCTCAACAGCCACCCTAATGGAGTTCCCTTCCACCCCATGTGGGCTGCTATGGCTTTGGTCATGCCAATGGAGATAGGGAAGGGTTAGAGAAGGGGTAGACAACCTCGGCACTCCAGCTGCACTGATTCTACAAATCCCTTCTTGCCTCCGAGAGTCATGCCTGTGGCTGTCACAGTCTTTCAACCACTCATGAGACTTGAAGTTCCATAACAGGTGGAGTGCCGAGGTTGCCTATCCCTTAGGGTAGACCATCTGTTAGGTGTGTATTGCTCTCTATGTCTTTCTGTTCTGGTGACACCTCACATTTTCTTCTAGTGTCCCTGTGACAGGAAGTGAAAGAAAATCTACCCATTGAGGTGGTAGCCATATAAGCCTTCCAGGTATTGAAAACCAAAGACTGTTATAACTAGAGTAAGGCTTTAAAGGAGACCTGTCATGAGAGTAACACTTAGGCCATGGTGTAACCCCTCTTGAGACGCCACCCCTTTTTCTGCTGTTATGAAGGGGTCTGTTGTATATTGCACAGCAGGAGAAGCTGAACGGGTCAAGGAGATGTTTTAGGTCTTCAGAAGGTGGAAGATACAAGAAGCCAATCCACACTCATTATTTGGTGTACTGATTCCTTGAAGGGGACATATCATTAGTGGATACGGTATAAGCTAACTGGGTGATAGGCACCATACGGTGTCAGGACGTACCTGTGCCTTGTTATAATTCATCTCCGGAAGCCCCCGAATCTCGAATGTGAAATGAGCGGATTCCACTGGATGGCTTCCATTGCCTTTACTGGATATTGTTATTTTTCTACATGTTCTTGGGGAAGGCGGAGCTGGTGACCATTGTCTGTGTGTTATTGATATTTATATTTTGGCCCATATGGCACTAAGTGCAATACGTTGTGTTGGTGATAATATTAAAGCTTCATATACCCGTGTTCCTGGTGTCCGTGTCTGTGAATAGTGCGTAGATTTGGGTGTCAGGGCAGATCATTCTGACTTCACATGCTAGTTTTTCATTTTGAAGATTAAAAAGTCGGGGCGCACCGATAAAGTATGAGGAAACTTGACCATAATACACAATATGGCCTAAAGTATTGGTGCCGAGAATTTGGGCGAGTACTCATACTCACCCAAATGCTCCGACGCCTGGCCAGATACTTAAAGGAGAACTATGGGGTAAGTGTTTAACCCCCTAGTTCTCCTAAGGGTCACGGGAGGACACAAACTAGCGTCCTCCCGTTACCCAAAGCTCAGTATATCGCGAGCTACAGCTACAGTATACTGAGACCGCCACAGCCGGGATGGATCCCGACATTACTGTCTGGATCCACCCAGCTACGTGAGTGACAGCTGGCTCTGCCTATCTAGAGGCAGAGCCAGCTGTACCCGTCCGTTCCGCCAGTCAGTGCTGCAGGATCGGAGCGGGGGAATCCCTGCA